CTGTAAAAGTCATATGCTTAGGTAATGGAAGAACCAATTAGAGCCAGGTCTCCAAATGTCAATCTAGTGTCCTTTCACTATATCACACTGTCTTAATCCTTGCCTTTAAAAATGATAGAAAGCAGCATTTAAACATTAAGAAAATAGTTCCACTTATATTCCGCGCATAACATCTCCATTCAATAAATGTTCCCCAGGTTTTGATTTCCTTTAATTCCTTTTACGTAAAGATGTGCCAACATCACGTCTTCCTTTTTATAACAGTGATAGGTCAATCATATGACAACTAATAGCTCATAACTCCATTACATATTGCTTTCTCATTAGTGCAAATTTGTTCGAAAGCAATTAGATTGACTTTTCAGGTTGTGATGAGGAAGCCTTGAGCCTACAGGTCTTGTATCAATTGTTCAATTACAGTTGAGCTCCTACAAGTACAAATGTACATTTAAACAACTTCATTTTTAGTTTCTAGGCATGCATAGGGATATTTAACTATGGGTACCAATTATGTTTATATAATTGATGGGAGGAGGATATTCATTTCAGGCTCATTTCTTATCTTGATTATCTTATAAAATGATTTGTTTTTGTCTTTACTCCTGGCACCATATTACATAGGAACTTCAATGTATTGTAGCTATCTTCTTCATTCCTCTTTCTTGCTGAGAATAGAATACTGTAATCTTAGTCATATTTGTACGCTACTCTCTCCACCTACAGTCCCCCTTTTATCCTTGGCTAGTTCCTCACCATCTCCTATCCAGTTAGTTACTCTATTCTTCAGGTTTTAGCTCAGTTGTCACCTCCTCAGAGGTCCTGTCTGTCCTTTTGTCACTTTATACATGAGGCTCCCTTTCTGCACACATTGTGCTCTCTCACTTCATGGTGGTGTTATTATTCACAGTACTCATCACAATATGTAATTATCTTATGTGTTTGTTTTCTTTCCCGTTCATCTCTCTACTTTCTTGGACCTGAGGGCCAGGTAAGCAGATGGTGAGCTTATTTGCCCTGATCCTAGCCCAATGCCTGCTACACAGGAGAGGCTCCGTGAACATTTATTGAATGGTTTTATGTCTTAGATGAGCTCTGTGCAAGTCTGTACTCTACTCTAGGAGGTGTGTGTAAATCTTGGCCCTTCAGAGAACATTTTTTTGATTATTCTTTTAATTGATGGATTTAAACACAGACATGAGATTCCCTTTCTGCTCAGATACCTTGACTCCAGATCTATTAAATGGGCCAGGTTTTCTACAGCATTTGGACTGGATGCCTTATCTGGAGTGGATCTAGATTTTCTAAAGCATGCTGGACCACAATGTACTTTCTTCCAAACCATGTGGTTTCGGGTAGTTTTCTGGCCACGGTGGCTATTGAGCTCTTGAAATGTGGCTCATGTGAAGTGAGCCACAAAATACGCATCAGATTTGGAAAACATAGACTAGAATGTAAAATAGATCATTAATAAGGTTTATATTGTTTGCTTAGTGAAACGACAATCATTTGGATATATTGGGAAAAATCAATTGTATTGTTAAAATTACTTTTTTCTTTAAAACTTTAATTTTTAAATTTAATTAAATTTTATCTTTTGGCAGTATTAGGAATTAAACTTAAGGTCTTTGCGCTGAGATACATCCCCAGCTCATTACTTTATTTTTTATTTTGAAGCAGGGTCTCACTGAGTTATACAGGCTAGGGTGGAATTTGTGACCCTCCTACCTCAGCCTCCCAGAGTGTTGTAATTAGAAGCTTGTGCCACCGGTTCTAGCTCTTCAAACTTTTTAAATACGCTGCTAAACACTGAAAATTAATTGCATGGATCATGTTTGTGGCTCACAATGTATTTTTATTGGATCACACTGCTCTAGACCCACCTACTCACTCCAGCTGTGGGCAATGCTGGCTGGAAGGGGATGCTGAAGTCTACTGAAGAGATGCTAATGTTTTGAGAGCCCTTCCCAGCCTGCTCCTCATCTGTTGGACTTGCACTAGGGCAGGACAGGCGCTCTGGGGTGATGGCTCAGGTGCTGTTCTAGTTCAGCCTCAGCGCAGCCTGAGGCTGAGATAAAAAGTATCCAAGACACAGAAACTCTGAATGTATGCAGTGTCACATTTGCTTTAAAACAATGCTGGGCCAGAATCCAGCTTTCTTTTTTATTATTATGCTGTCATCAGTTTACTTACAGAAGGACCTACTAGGAAAAGTACATCTTCTTTTTAAAGTTAGATACCACCAAATTTTAAAGAAGTGTTAATAAGTTAGGTGGATTCTCTAAAAACTGCAATGAGGAAATTACATTGTCTTTAGATGACTAACTGGGAAATCATGGTGTATACTTTGGTAAATTAAACAAGTTCCTTCTGTGACCATTGCTCATATACTACAGTAGAGCAATACACTGGACTGACCTTTACTTAGCATAGGAGCATACACTGCAAAGCAAAATTTGAACAAACAGTTGGATATGAACATGAAATCTACTTGTAAGTAAATATAAATCTAATAACTATGCTTTGCATAGCTATGAAACTCACTTGGAGACCATGCACTGTAGTTTGGAAAATCAGTTGCTAAGGATTCTAACAATCCTCACCACAGGCATATCAGGCAGTCTTCTCCTGGCTAAGGAAATGAATTTTTGAATAATTAGCTTCATGACCAGGACATTCTGATTCATTCATTAATTCAACAAATATTTAGTGAGAACCTGTTATGTGCCTGCAGTGTTCTAGGTGCTCAAGATACTACAACGACCAAGGTAGAAAAAGATTTTTCCCCGTTGGAGTTTACATTCCAATGCTTAACTATTGCTATGGTTGCATGTGGCTTGAAGGTTTATGCTTGGCCCTCAGTGGGTGTTGAGGTGGTGAAAACCTTAGGAGGTGGGACCTCTACCCTCATGAAGAGATTAATTTTGTCTTTTCAGAGTGGGTCAGGTTTTAGCAAGGCGTGGTGGCACAAGCCTGTAATCCTAACACTCTGCAAGGCTGAAGCAGGAGGATAGCAAGTTGGACCCAGTCTGGGCAACTTAGTGCCTTAGCAAGACTGTCTCAAAATATAAATAAAAAAGCGCTGGTGAAGTAGCTCAGTGTGAAGGGCCTGGGTTCAATCCCTGGTACCTCCACCATCACCCCCCGTCCCATCCAGTTTCATGGGACTAGATTAGCTCATAGAAGAGTGTGTGTAATAGAAGAGGCAGTTTGATTCCTCCCTGGTCTGCTGCTTCCTGTCCTGCTGCGTGCCCTGTCCCCTTCCACATGCTCCTGAGCATGATGCCATCCTTCAGGCTCTGATGCGGCCAGAAGGTTTTCATCAGAGGCCAGGATGATGGGAGATACCTGATCTTGGACTGCTAGTCTACAAAACGATGTGCTAAAGAAACCTCTTTTCTTTATATATCATCTAGTGCCAGGTATTTTGTTATAGCAACACAAAACAGATAAAAGCAGGTATTTTCTCAGTGGAGAGAAGGATATGAAAACAGAGCACAACTAAACAGTGCTTTGTTGGAATGCCATGAGCAATATTTTGTTAGTTGGGAATTAACGTTAATATATTTTCTATTTGAGGCTTTTGTGGGAAATTTGAAAACGGAGGCCCTGATGAGGAGTGTCCATACATATAACTCTAGATCTCTACACGATTAATCTACCTTCCAAGAGTGTTAGAAGGCACTCAATTTCCTTCATATGCCTCAAATCAAACACACCGTGTCACGGGAGCCCCAATAACTTAGAGGTGGCATACCTGTCCAGGTCCTTCCTTTGGGGGGTATTGCAAGTTAAAGCTCCGCAGAAGTCTCAGTTCTTATCTGTCAATTCTAGCAGCCCCCCCCCCCCCCCCACCGCCCCGGTCGGAATGACTTCCCTCCTCCCTCTTCGTCCGCGTTCTCCCAATCCACGAGTTGTACCCTTGGGCGTGGCCTCTTCCTCACACATCTGTATTTGTAGGCGGTTCGGGCCCCCCTCCAGCCTGGCCTCCGAGAGGAGATTCTCCAACTGTGGCTTTCCCCTAAAGCTCAGCCAGTAGATGTCTCCGTCACTCTCTCAGAGCCAGACCAACCTCGGCAAGTCGATTTCAATCATTTCTCTAAGTGACGAGGTAGAGGATTTAATAATTTGCCTAAAAAATGAGCAGATGCTCCGGAGGACGCGTTTCCACCCTACGTCCCTCCCCTCTAGTTTCAGTCAGAAGGGACACTAGTCGCTTCTCCCTCTTTCCCAGCGGAGGAAAGGTGATTTCACTGAGCGTGTACGGCGCCAACGCCTCCTCCGCGGCACGTCCAGGTTCCCTCCGCTCGGCTCGGCGCCGCGGCGCAGCCCGCCCCCGTGCGCTTCCGAGCCGGCCGGGACGCAGGGGAGAGGGACGCGCCCTCAGCCCCCGCCCCGCGCCCGGCTCAGCACTGGACAGCGCCCGCCCCGCCGCCCCGCGGCCGCCGGCTGATTGACACGGGCGCCGGCCAAACAGGGCCCAAGACGCCTCGGAGCCGCCCTGCGAGGGTTCGGCTGCGGCCACGCTGGCTCTTTAAACTGCTTTCCTCCCGGGAGTGGCGGGCGGCCGCCGAGTGGTTTGCGGCTCCACCAGCTGCCGGCCCCCGGCTGCACGGCCGCAGGCTCAACAGAGCCTGCTCCCGGACTCGCTCCTGCCGCTCCCGGTGCGGGTCGGCGAGCGCGCTGCGCGCCCCCGGGAGCAGGGTCGGAGGAGCAGGGCGCAGGGCCGGAGCGGGAGACGGAGCCGGAGTGCCCGCCGAGAGGATGGAGCGGCGGCCGCGGGGGCAGCAGCAGCGGCGGCGGCGGCGGCGGCCCCGAAGCACACCTCAATGAGCGCGGCGCAGGGGCGGCGGGCAGGAAGACGTAAGCAGCCTAACTATAGCCGGGAGCGGGCGCGGGCGATGTGACCTCGGCGCGGGGCTGCGGTGGAGCCGCGGGCGGCCGGGCAGCGCGTGCCGGGCTCTGCCACAGGTGAGCCGCTTCCTACGCCGGCGGCTCGGCCGCTTCACCCGACCTCTTCCATCCTCCCGGGCCAGTGCATCTGGAGAGGGCGACTCCCCGGGACAGTCTGACGGTCGACGGCCAGCGGTGACGGAGTGGCCCCGCGGTGCCCTCTCCCCGGAGGCCGGGGGAGTCATGGCTCGCCCTTTCCTCCTCTGCCTCCTGCTCGCTCCGCTGGGCGTGGGCGCGGGTGGCGCCAGCCGCGACTCCCCAGGATGGTCGGGCCCCGCTCGGGAGAGGACCCTGAGGGGGAGGCAGCACTCGCAGCCGGCGGCTCGGGTCTCCGCCGCCGACCCCTCGGCCGCCTGGAGCCGCCCCGCCGACGGCACCATCTTGGCGCAGAAGCTGGCCGAGGAGGTGCCGCTGGACTTGGCCTCTTACCTCTACACCGGGGACGCGCGCCAGCTGAGGCGGGCCAACTGCTCCGGCCGCTACGAGCTGGCCGGCCTGCCGGGGAAGTCGCCGGGCCTCGCCGGCTCGCATCCCGCCCTGCACGGGGCGCTGGACGCGCTGACACACGCCACCAACTTCCTCAGCACGATGCTGCAGGGCAATAAGTCTCGGGAGCAGAACTCGCAGCACGACCTGGAGTGGTACCAGGCGCTGGTGAGGAGCCTGCTGGAGGAGCCCAGCGTCTCGCGGGCGGCCATCACCCTGGGCGCCGAGTCGCCGCCCGCGCCTGGCCCGAAGCTCTTCCTCCAGGCCACGCGCGAGGAGAGCCGCGTGCTGCTCCAGGACCTGTCCTCCTCCGCCCAGCAGCTGGCCAACGCCACGCTGGACTCCGAGTGGTTCCACGGCCTCCGGCGCAAGTGGAGGCCCCACTTCCACCGCCGCGGCTCCAGTCAGGGGCCCCGGGGCCTGGGCCACGGCTGGCGGCGCAGGGACGGGCTCAGCGGGGACAGGAGTCACATCAAGTGGTCACCGCCGTTCCTGGAGTGTGAGAACGGGAGTTACAGGCCCGGGTGGCTGCTCACTCTTTCCGCTCCCTTCTATGGGCTGCAGCCTAATCTGGTCCCCGAGTTCAGGTAGGGAGAGGGGAGAGGGCAAAAGGCAAAGCCTGCCTTCCAGCTTTGCGGGAGGGCGGGCGCGCGCGCGGAAACAGCACTTGGCCGGCCTTGTGGCAGCTGTCTCTCTCCTTCAGAGCAGCGATCGCGCGAGGGGCGCCCCAGACGGGCTCCTGTGCTTAGAGGCCGGAAGCGTCCCGCATAGGTCAGCTCCAGGCGCCCGAGAGCCTTTCTTAGATGAGGGTAAGGACCCCGGAGCCCTGGGGAGAGCGAGGCACATTCGTGTTCTCTGCTTCCCTCGGCCTGGGATGGTGGGGAAGGGAGCCCCCTAGGGTGCCCTGAAGCTGTGAGCTTGGGGTGCGCCTGCCAGGCGGACGGGCCAGCACCAGGTGACCGGAGAGCCCGAGGAAGAGAGTTCCTCGTGCCTGCCACTTCGGGGTGGCCTCGGCCGCTTCCTGCACTGTTCGGGGCCCCAGTCTGTTGTTAGTCAACTCCCAGGGCGTCTAATTGAACCTGGGCTTCCCCTGGGCAGTTCTTGCGGCTCAGCAGTGAGTCACTCAGCAGCAAGCTGTCTCCAGCATACAGACTCCCCACTTTGGCCAGTGCGTCCTTTCTTTGGCTTCCCCCTCCCGGTACATCTCCCCTTCCTTGCTGCCTTCTTTCTCCTGTTCCCTATGGGGTATAAGTGTTCTCCAGCCCTGCACTCTCGAGCTGTCTTAGGGAGGGAGAGGCCAGTTCTAACTGCATCCGCTCAGGCGGCTCAGGGGAGCAGACAGCTCGGGATGGCATCTGACCAAAGCTGCTAGTCTGCAGACTTGCGGGTTGTCACTGTGGTGAGGAACTTTCAGAAGCAGCTGTTAAGAACCCGTGCAAAGAAGAAACAGCAAGGAGAGAGTAGAAACTTGAGCGGTTTTAGAGAGGGCCGCAGATTGATTGGGGTCCCCCTAGTTCCCAGGAGGGGGGGTGTGGAAAGAAGGTGGGGGGGGGCGTAAGCTACTGTGCTCCACTTGGGAACCGGGCAGAAGTGGGGAACCATGTGTGTGGGCTGTTCGGTTTAGCTTCGCTCTGGCACAGCAAGGGCGGGATATGGGATATGGCACTGCTGAAGGGTGGCAGGCCAAGGGCTGGATGGCCTCGGGGAGTCCAATGGCATTTACTGCTGACTGGCCTCAGGCAAGTTGCTTAACCCCGAGGGCCTCAGCTGTGTGTCTATCAAGCGACAGAATTGCACTTGTCTCTAGGCACTCATACAGTTTTGTAAAATCTGTAGCTTTTAATCTGGCAACACTTGAGAAGGTATAAATGAAAAGCAATACTCTTTGATTCTTTATGACCTCTGTGTGTGTGTGTGTGTGTGTGTGTGGTGCCTTTAAAGATTCTATCTTGAACCAATGTAAGTTTTCTACTTTCAGGATAATCTCATTTCCTCCTGATTCCTGCAAGACCCTTTTAGTAAGAGCTGAGCCCAGCTTTGAATCTTTGCCATATTGTTTGCTCGGGAGAAAGATTAGCAGATGTCATTACTTGCTACTAAACTGCGGCCTTTAGATGAGACTCTTCAGGGGGTCTCAGGATTGATCTCTCTCTTTCTTCCTCCCTCCCTCCCCATTCAGCATTTACTGTCTATCAGACTCTGCTAACTGCTTTGCCTGCACTATCTTGATAAATCTTTATAATAATATTGAGTTATATTTTATTGTTTCCCCTCTTTTACAGAAAGGAATCTCAAGCACAGAGAGGTTAAACCTCTTGCGTAAGTTTATACAGCAGTTAAACTGTAGAGCAGGATTTAATACCCCGTTGTACTTTTTACCACTGTACTCAACTGTTTGTGAAAGTGGTATAGGGTGTTGCATACAAAGAAGTATGTCTTTGCTGGGTGTGGTGGTAAGTGCCTGTAAAGCCAGCTACTCAGTACTGAGGCAGGGCGAGCGCAAGCTTGCAGCCCGCCCAGGCAGCTTAGTGAGACATCGTTTAAATAAAAAATAAAAGGGCTGAGGATACACCTTAGTGGTAGAGTGTCCCTCCGGTCAATCCCCAGTATAAAAAAGAGTGTAATTTTCAAGTTTCTTTATGTGGGGCTGGGGATGAAAACTATTCATGTTCAGAACTCTTTGTCTTAAAGATCAGAAGGCACAGGTTGCCGAACTGAAGTTGATGCCTTCTTGCAGCCATGGTGAGAGTCTGGGGTGGTGAACGCTAGCGGCCCCTGCACATTCTTTGATGGTGTTCAGTAAGTTGTCTGTCTTGTGTTTTTTTTTTTTTTAAGAGCTTTCATAGTCATCAGTGGCACTCTTCAGGCAAAGCACAAGCCAGGCCACTTCATGTCTGGCTTGCTACAGAAGCAGGGTGGTCTTGACAGCTCCACAAAGAGCAGAATGAGTGTTCCTCTGAGTGCTTTTGTCCCTGTCCTGTGCCCCTCCAGTGCTGTACTGAAGATGTGCACAGATTTTAATTACAGGAAATAGAAGATGTCTTAAAGGGATCAGATAGTTCCACCTGTTGTTTCATAAAGGAGCAGCACTAGAAAGGAAAAGTGGCTTGTCCCAGAACTCATGTATCAGGTTGTAGTGACAACAAAAGTAGGACAGAGGCCTTCTGCTTCTGGGTCACACTGTGTTTGTTAGGTGTGGACCCTGAGAGCTTGGAGGTTCGAGCACAGGGGAGTGTAACTACTGCTGTACCCGGGACCCAGGAAACGGTGCTCCTCTATGGCAGTGGTCCTCCTCTTCCACCAAGCGCAGCTTCAGGAGGGTGGGGAGGGATGCACATGGAATGGTGAGGGAGAAAGGGGACCCCTACCTAGCCGTCTGAGCAGCCGAATCAACCCTGGGCTCAGTGGGGTGACAGAAGTCGCAGCCAGATCGCAGGCACATCCATGTTAAGGATGTTCCTAAAGTATATTTCTGGGCCTGTCTGAACCTCCACACACAACCCTTGTCGGGAACATATCTTATTCTTTATCATTTTCATTTAGGACAAGAAGCAGGGCACGGATTACAGTTGCTGAACCTTGTTTTTCTGTTTGTTTTTGAACTGGGGAATCAGATCTACTGGCACTGTACTACCGAGCTACATTCCTTTCTTTTTTATTATCACGTTTTGGGGTTTTATTAGCATGTTTTTCCAATACAGAGTAGTGATGTTTATTTTGGGGAACTGGTACACTCATGTAACATGCCTCGATCACTTTTGATTCTTTCCCTTTCCTCCCCCAAAGCCTTCTCCATCTCCCAGAGTCTGCCTTCTTATTTCCTAAATCTATCTTCCCTCCTTCTCTCCTTCCTTCCTTCTTCCTTCCCTTCCCTTCCCTTTCCTTCTTCTTTCCTTCTTCTTTCCCCTCCCTCTCTCCCTTCCTTTCTTTGTATTTTAGGTTTCACATAGAAGAGAAACCATGCAATATTTAACCTTGTGTCTGACTTATTTTGCTTAGCATTATAGTCTCAAGTTCCATCCATTTTGCTGCCAAAGACATAATTTTATTCTTTATGGCCAAATAATATTCCACTGTATGTATATGCCACTTTTTTTTTTTAACCATTTATTTTCTGAAGGGCATCTAAGCTCTTTTCGGAGACCTGTGAATTGAGCTGCTGTAAACATAGGTTGTTAAAGACAGGGGCTTGCTGTATAGTCTAGGCTGGCCTTGAACTTGCTATGTAGCCCTACATCTTCCTTTTCAACTCCCTAAGTGCTGGGATTCAGATGGGAGCCACCACATCTGGCTCTTAGTTTTGATCTTGAGACAAGGTCTCCCTAAGGTGCCCAGGCTGGTCTTGAACTTGCAGTCTTCCTGCTTCAGCTTCCCAAGCAGCTGGAATTACAGACATGTGCCACTGCACCAGGCTCATTTATTGAGCTTTTAAGAAAAGAAGTATATTATTTATTTCACACATTTGAGATTTGAGTATTTGAGTGGCCCTTTTAATCTTTTCATTAGCAGTAAAGGAAGAGTTGTTTTGTTGTTGATGTTTCATCCCCTAAAGTGTGCATTCTAAAATTCTACGACATAAAATAATACTAGACAGGTATAGTAAAAAGGTAAGTCTGAAATGATTTTTTTTGGAAACCAAGATTAGGAGTCCTACTCAAGATTTTAATAATATTTGGATTATATAGAGCATTGTTTGCAAAAGACCTTACTTGTAATAAAAATCTGTTGATAATGATTTACTTATGGAAGAGAAAAGGAGTAAAATTTTGTAGTTAAAACTTCCATTTAAGGTCATTTAGTATTTTCCTAGATCTTATATATAGGATTTGGACATTTAAATTACATTATTTTTAAAGCAAATATAAACCCATAATGTGGTATTCGAAAGTAATGTGGAGAACCGGGTCAACTACCTTCTTATATTACTGTTTATCACTATAAAAATCATTCAGACCAAACATTTCCCTTGAGTCTCAGAATGACACAAGTATTTTAAAATTTAAACCCTAGCATGAGGCACATGTAGGAAGAGAAGTTTCTCATTTTTTTAAGTAAGGGATAGTAATTTCTAACTAAATGATTCTTGATCCTTTTATTACAGACTAATAATAAAAACACTTTAGTTCTCATTTTCTATCCTAGCAAAAGAGAAAGAGTAATAATTTAAGGTACATGGTAAAATATTTTTGCTTATGACCTTAAATCTATATGTGTGGAGTTTTCTGTAAGGTTAGAGTTCTCTAGCTTGCCTAGTAACTTTCGTTCAAGGAACTTAAAGTACTGCAGAGTTGGATCTCATTTTGCTAAAAGCATAAATGTCTTTCTGGTGGTGGTTGGAAGTGTCCAGGGCTTGTGATGAGAAGAAGATAGTTAAGTGTTTTTTGAATTTGAATAAAAATGATTTTTTTTTGGAGGGGGAAGTAATTCTTTTTTGAAGGGTGGAAAGAAACGGTGGACTTCATTTGATTTTGTCTTCTCATTCTGTAGTAGAGGCAACAGAGCCCAAAAGAGCTAAAGGGATTTCCTAGAAGCAGTACAGCTCTTCTGTGGTAGGTTGAAGTAAGGAAAGCCAGTATTTAGTGAGCAT